ATGCTTCCTTAAAAAGTTAGCGCCCAAAAACCTCTGAAATCACGGTTATTTTTTACATGTTTACAAATATCAGGGAAAGTATGCGTCTTTTAACAAAAAGTACCGAAACAAAAGTTGTAGAGTATTAAATTATCTTTCAAATGAGATCAAAATGATTGTAATTCGCTCCATAGGTTTTGGAATAAACCAGTTTATAACCAATTTCAAATGTACCAAAAAGTATTTTTTCAGCTATTGACGGTTATTCGAAAACCTATGGAACAAACTATTGGGTTGAACGAAAAGTTCGTTCCGTTTTTTACTAAGAGATGAAGACCGAAAAAACGGCACAAACTTTCCGTTCAACCCAATATAAGATATTGCACATTTTGCATTATATAAATGAATATATAATATTCAGTAATATTTAAAGAGCTAAAAGTAAACGTACTTTTTAACATAGATGAAGGAATGTGAAAATACATAATTGGCAATTCTGTAAGCTTATGTCATATCTAATAATTACTTATATAATGACTAAAACTTTATATCTTGGTGTAAGTTTTCTTTATTTGATTTAGAGTCACAAAGGCATGCAAAGATCCGAGTTATATTTCCGAATATGCAATATGAATAAAAGAAACTCAGTACTTTATTTAAAGCAGGGGAATGAATTTTTTAAGCGAGCGAGAAACCAGCAGATTAATAATTTGGGAGATTAAGGTTCGCACGTTATTTCCCTTCTCTCGAAAAGTAAGATATTACAGCTATTAATCCTCGCGAATTTCGGTCGCGCGAGTTGCATTAGAGACTCTTGTTTCCCGACTGTTCTTCTTAAGAAAAGTTTTCTGGAGAGAATTTTACAAAATTCTAAATTACGAAGTAAAGTTTTAATCGTCGGCATCATCTGTGTTTTCTTAAGATTTTTAAAAGTTTTTTGCGGTTTTCTTAATTATCCCCTGCGGCATCACTACAAACACAACAAAATTTAATTTTATTAGTATTTAAATATATCCAAATAAAGAAACAATTATTTAAAAAAAGAAAATAATAAAAAATTTATAATTTTGTTATGTTCTTGAAAATTATATTTCAATTATATTTTACTATTAAATAAAGATTTTGCATAAAAGTGATGTAAGGTTACTTAAATGTACAAATAAAAAATATGTTGAAATTTTTAAATAACAATATCTAATTCATATAATTCAGCAATATCAAATATCGACTTACAGCTTATGTATAAAAAGATTATTATTTTCATTATTATACTCTCTATTATATTACCTTGCCTTTGTTTTCATAAAATTGGATAATATTGTTCCAATATGGAGCTATAGATTTTAATAAATGTAAAATCTTATATATATATATTTTGTTGTCAGCATTGGGTTGAAATCAAATTTTAGCGCGGCTAGAATTAGTAGTAAACATTGAAATAATTTTATATAATTCAAATTATAAACAAATTTAATTATGCCTTGTGATACAAATATAAAATGTGTTAGAATTAAAAAGATAATAAAAAATTGATTAATCCACTGCAAGTATCATAACAATGTGCGGAAAAAAATAAGGTTCAACGTTAACTTGAATTTATTTCCACGTTTGAAAATTATACGATTTGATAATGAAATGTTCACAACAAATCAGTGGTCAATCCTCACAATTCATTAGGCCTGAAAGTTTCCTATTTTCCACCAGTAGAAACACGGTGGAGGAAGCAGACGGAGCGCCATCCCCATCTATTGATCGGTCACCGGCTCCGCTCAACATGGCACTAGGGGTGGCGTTCGTGCTCAGCTTGATCCTCGTCATCGGCCACCACCAGGAAGGACCAGGATCCCTCGCCAAGACCTTTACATTTCCCGAGTACCCGTACAAGGAGACCACCAAGAATGTAAGTCGGTCATACAATTCATTGGATTTATCTTTGACGAGTGGTACGTGCTTGAAAGCTGATACAGGTTATGGCGAGCAACCCTCATTCGGGGGGGGGGGGGGGGGGGGGCGCTTTACGACACCGGGGACGGCAGAATTGACGCTAATCCGCCTCCGACTTTTAAACGGCGAATATATGTATATAAAAACCTCAAGTCATTCTTATATGTAAATCACTAATTGCTTATAAAATATCTTCATATTTAATGCATAAATCAAAAATCCGTTTGGTGAAAAAAATGGAAATTCATAAAAAAATAAAAAAATAATTAAAAAATCGGAAGTTATAAAAAAATTTGTTTTATTTAGAAAAAAACGTTAATGATGAAATAAAAATTCGAAATCTGTACGTTGTATCAGAGGTGGTTGTCGCTTTCAATCAAGAAAGTAAGATTGAATTGAGATAGCAATTTGATGAGGAAACAGCGATCGATCTGGTATTAACTCAAGAATATTCGGCTAAAGATCAAAGTGTACATGAAGGTACTCAAAAGTAACATGCGAATATTTGCATTTGAAAGTTCTGACTCAAATTTATCGCGGTTTATTGTAGCGACGAGAAAGAACTCTCTTTCATCGAACTTGTTCAGCGAAAAGTAGATCGTGAGAATTAAATTTAGATCGTAACAAGACACGATGGTGAGTTTCTTTGCGATCAGAGAAGTACAAAGGAGTACATATAACGCGATTATGCGTTGTAGAAAGATACAGCGAAAATGTTACGTTTAAAAGTTAAAAATAATTCGCGTTCGCGACATCCGCTTCCGGTAAAAAAAAGACAGTGAAAAGTCATATCAAGGTATCATCGGGGATTTTATCGAAAATATATCTTTACGACATGTATATATCTTTCCGGTATTAGGAGATGAGATAAGAGAAAGTTACATACAGCTTCCTGAAATGGCACTTGGTAAATATTCTTTGTCAAAGATTTATCGCGTATGCAATAATGCTTTTATTTACACAGTGAAAGGCAGATTATAGAATTATTCGCGAAGAAAATTAAAGACATATATATACTGTGCTGGAATTTCCATTGATTTTAATTGAGGTTAATCTTTCAACATGCGCGAATCAATTGTTGCATTCCGCTTTATCTCGTCATGGCGCGGAATATGCAAGCGTTTGTTTGATTAATACCGCACATAAACTATAATATAATAATTTTCTCCAAATTAATAATAAATATTTATATTCCGGGATATACATTTGATCGCGGCATTTATTTGAGATACTTTATGATAGAATAATTAATAATTTATTTGTAATAATAACAAAATAAGATGGAATGTGAAAAGGAGATTCACATCTCTAGTTTGCTGTTATTAAATATTTTTGCTGCATTTACAAAATTAATAATTAATAAATAGTATCAAATCAAAATGATGTATTTACAATGACTGATAAATATATGTATACTGTCGTAGGAGCTTCTCTTTAGACAATTCGAGCAGGCGTGCGAGGAGAGCGGAGCCTGCAAAATGCAATCGCAGCACAGGAGCGGTGACGTTGCGAAAACACGGTGCATCCGGGAATGCGTGTCGCCGTCCTGTTACAAGGAGATTTATTTATTCGATCAAGTAGGTATATACGTGGAATACCAATTCCATTAATCGCATTTTATTGCTAAATATGTCGTACGTATCCAATATACTATTCCGTTTACGCAGACAATATGGTAACACGAGCGATAAACACTTTTCAGTTGGAGGAGGGTGAGATTGACGTGAGATTAAATTCCTTCAAAGGTTGCTTCATGCAGCGAAACGGTCGGCCGCGAAAGTAAGAAGAAGAAACTCGTGAAAAGAGACGCAAGTAGAAAAAGAACTTTTAATCTGAAAATGAACGATTAACGCGGAGGACTGTCGATGTACCGTTTAACCCCTTCGGAGTAATTATATAATCACGCAACAAAGAACGCGTCTTCTACGTGGCGATTATATTATAGTTATAACAATAACGCTTCTCTCTCTTGTTTAGCACTTGCTACCCCGAAAGGATTAAATCGACGTTGTAATGTGACTGCTGCATGATGTGCATGCTCGGATGTTTGGAAAAGCACAAGAAATGGATTCAAATGCATATCATGCATCAAAAATAGCAAAAATGCATAACATGCAGTTTTGCACCAGGATAAGGAGATAGTACATCGAAAGGATTAGATTCTTATTCAAATACAATCTTTTTCTACTTTTTATACGCACATGTTACTTACGATAAAGCTGATATTGATATTGCACAATATAACTGAATAAGTTATTGGCTGCACCAATATAGTGACTGATTCCAGTCACTGTCTTTATATTGTATATATATATCACTTCTATTAAAATATTCTTAAAATAATATATATTCAATCCTTATATACGATAATGCTGAATAATACAATCTCGATGTATATGTATAATGGAAAGATAAAAAAAAATGCAGCATATTTTAAAATCTTATATATTTTACACGTAATATTATTCTCTCTTAAAATACAGAACCATAAGCTCTTATTAATTGAAGTTAGTTATTATACATTAAAAAGTAAATTGCATTAAGTTTTATAATAGGAAATTCAGAATCTCTCATAAAATATATGTGAACTCTTTATAACTTCTTCCTTGTATAAACTAATTATACTGTGATATAACGTGATATAATCTATACAATTGTTATTGTTCATTGGAATTGTGACAGCTAAAATAAAAATATAAAAATTTAAGAACAAAAAAAAATATAAAAGTGACAAGATATTGATAGCTCTTATAAAATATGTAGTTTACTTCTAGTATTGTTAAAACACTTCTTACCGCACATTGAAGACTCTGATAAGCATCTTTCAACTCTTTGTTATGTAACATCACAGAATATTCTTTAAGATAATCCAAAACTTGATCAAAAGGTGTTTTACACAGCGATCTAGGATTCCACAATACATCGTTGCAAGTTGCTTTGCGATAACGAAGCCATGTAGTGACGAACTCGACAAATTGATACGATACATATCGTGTTCTTACGACATTAAAAATGAGATTATAATTACTCATTACGGTACAAATATGAGGTACTAGTGGTGCTTTAGTAGTTACTTTAGTATTACAGAAATGTAATAAAACCACTAGACTTTGATATACCGTTTCCCGTTGCGGCTCATGTTTCTATAAAAAGATAATAATTAACTCCGATATCAGTTCTTGTTGCTGTTTCCTGATCTGATTATTTTAATAATTGTTAATCGTGTTATATTGTAAACAAATCTTTGTGTAATATAGTGAAAGATATTTTCGAGTACTTCTTTATATTCCTGTAATTTTAAATATACTGACCATTGCGTGAATAATATGAAAAACTTCATAGAGATAAATAACCATGTCCACATCACTAGCAGATGAAATCTTTTGCAAAACAATAGCCGATTTATCAACATTTTGTGTTAAAAGATCACATACAAATTGCATTTCATTTATTATGCAATTTGACGATTTTCTCGCATATGATAAGAGATCAACTAAGCTTTTTATGTGAATCTTGAGTGGCTGTTTGCACTGATAAACAAATATATCTTAAAGTATTAAAAAGTTTCGTTTAGATTAACAATTCAGATAATCATTATGTATACCTTTATCGATGATTTTTTTTGGCAATGAATAATGAATGTGAGCAGTTTTATGCTAATCGTGGACAATTCCGATCTTTCTTTTGAAAATCCATAAACATATAATTCTTTTAATAGTATAGGTTGTTGTATGTATATTTGAAGCACTGTAATTGAAATTTCGATCAAATATATATCATTATCATAAAATACACATTTTTATATAGCAAAAATACATGTTTATATATTTTTATTGAAATAATTATTTATTTTTACGAATATTTGCTTTTTTACCTTTAAATGACTCATATGATATAGCGGAAACCAACAGGACATGTGCTTGCGTTACAACTAAAGTTAAGAATTTTGAATCTGTGTTTTTCTTTAATATAATATCAACAATATTATGAGCGCTGCGTATTATAATTTCAATCGGCATTATATGTGGTTGAGTAATATTGGCTAATTCCAAAGCTGCTTCTATATGCGCAACTATAAATGCAAATTGATAAAATGTTAATCACAATATCTAATAATGTAATCATAATATTCATTCTCTCTAAATAACAAGATAAATATATTTTTAAATTCAATACTCTCTAGCTTACAGAATATATCCTTTGTAAAATGTTATATTTATATATTGAGTTCTAAGTACACCGCAAATCCGCTCGTTTCGCATCGTTTTAGCGTACGTATGACAATCTTCCGCGAGAGAAATCTTCCATCGCCAACGGAAATACCAGCGTTCCAATTCTGGAACAGTATGTAAAAACCTTAATCGCAACGAGGATAATTTCATGACGGGAATGGCCATTGTTTTAAATCCATAACATTATAGGGAAAGAGAGAGAGAGAGAGAAGTTTAGAAGTCTTTTTGGATTTGTTTTCACAAACCAGTATCTGAATGATATGATGAAAGTATGTTAGGCAGCATGTGCCACACAGTTTCCGCGACTTGTTCTACAATGTGTTTATCATTATTGTCAATTTGAATTAGATGACGGAGTCCTTTCATAGCTGCACTGATAACATGTTCGGGATAACCGTTCCGTATCACAACCTATTCGCAAACATTGAAGATTGAGCATCTTACATTAAAAAAAAAAGTTTTTCTAGCAAAGCCAATAAAAATATATGATTTAAATAAAACGTAATGCTTCAAGTTTTTCCTTTTATATACTAATATATATTCAAAAGTGAAAAATCAGTATATAAATATATCGAGGATATTAATTTCCTGTTCTCTCTGATATTGTAGAAGATAAATATTACACTCACCAATAAATGGCGAACCACTTTGTCACAATTGAATGATAGTAACGGCTTGATATCACCATCGGATTCTATCAACCATAAATTTAAAACTTGATTCAATAAGTTCTGCGAAACGTTTGAGCATTTAAGATAATAATGTAGAAGATCGATGTGGTGAGTATAAAAATTGCTGATCTCTAACTTTTGCAGGATATTCGTTAATCTAGTAACCGCATTTTCGTAATTACGTATCGAATTAGGAGACCGGTGAGAGATAGATGTCACCTGTAAAATCGAGCGCGATTAATATTTAGCGAATAAATATGAAAGATAAATACTTACAGCAAATAGAAACCATAAAGGTTTTAAAACCGGGACTGAGATTGGCTTAGATATTGAAAATACCATGATTCTAGCAATTAACGACTCCAAAGATATCATGTCGTTTCTAAAAGCAATGTGGAATGTACAATATATTTGCGAATTTAATATAAATAATAGTATACAACATAAAAAATAAAGTCTCGTACTCTCCAGTGCCTTGGAAATGATAATATAACAAAATCAGCAAGGCCGTTCCATCATTTCCACGACAGGACGCTACAGCATCGTTCCATCGCTCTTTCGTCGAACCTTTCGATATTAAGTCAAGAAAATCTTTGCGCAAACAATGTGTAAACTCGTTCTTGTCTTTGATTGAGAATGCTCTTTTACTAAGAATACTCAGAATCTGTGATAGTAATAAGCAAATGTTTCTTCGTAAATTTTTCCTGTAATGTAAAACATTACTTCTTGCATATTTTATAATTTATGCTCATATTAGACTTAAAATGCTTGCGTTTCCCAATAAATTTTTAGTACATAAAATAAAATATACATATATCCATATTATATTTTGCATTCGTCATTATAATCGTGACACAACGTATTGTAACATAATCCTATCAATTCATGCAACATTACAAATTGACGCAACTTACGGAAACTCTAGAGTCAAGAGCAAGAAGTACTTCAGATAACCATTAGCAACCAAGTAGTTTGACAAATTGTCATGATAACAATTTTCCAACTGATACAAATTGTTCAGACAAAAGATGAAATTTCTGTGAAACTCGTTTGAGTCTATACGAGACAAATCTGCATCCTATCGAAGAAATATATATCATATATATATAAATAAGTATATAAATCAAGTTCATCATAACGATGTGCATGACTGATTTCATGATACACGTATCAATAAATCAAGTATCACTTTTAATATATATACATACTTTGACATATGGTATAATTATATTCATTATCGTATCATAAATGCAAAATGACAGATTGTTCTTCTTTTGAGAAATTACAGACTTCTGACTTTTTTGTTCAAAAAAAAACCTGTCAAGCAGAGATGTTGGTAATACAAATTAGATTGAATATTAATAGTAAGAAAAATAACTTTATCGATGTCTTTTCTTTACCGAGAACTGCCGGCGCAAGTACCGCATAATAAGGCAGTAGCGCGTAAAATCGTGTTATCATCGTCGCCGTATTTGACAATTTCTATCATTGATTTTAATGCATCGCAAGAGATGTCAATAATTATCTCTGCATCAACGATTTCATCGATAGTTATTTGTTGCAGAACAACATTTAATATCGTGACGATCATAAATTTCATCTTATTATTTCGCGAATCTTGGACATCCAGTTCCTTTATGAAAAATATAATTTGTTGTGGAACACAAACAGTGTCAAAATCCACAGCTAATTTCATTGATCTAAAAGTTGAATATGATTAATGCCTCCCTAAATACAGTACTACGCAAGTGTAACGCAAGTTACGCATAATGTTACTATTGCTTAGGCAAAACAGATTACGTGATAATTAGTCAAAATCATTGATGTTTGAATAGAGATACATAGATATAATATATAGATATAATTATAAGCAATATAATAATATAAATAATGAATAAGTAATAATTATATATATACAGATATAAGGAATAATATATAATACTAAGTTTTGCATTATGTATGCTTGTACGTTTTTATATAACAAATGACGAGAGATATTAGAAAAATATACCTAACAAGTATATTGCAGACACCTTGTACAACCTCTTCAAACAGTACCGTGTCTTTGAGTGATGTGTACACACAGTAACTAATTCTTAACATTGATTTTATAGCACTCATGGCCGTGTGATTTTCGTAGAACTTTTTATAGACGCTTATAATCTCAAGACACTCGAGAACAACTCTGCATACAAAAATAAAATCACCGCAAACATTTTTTATTCGTGATTTGCATGATGATGTAAAAAAATAGATTTAACAAATAAACATTGAGATCATCATAACATAAAAAAAATCGCATACTTAACAAAATTTTCATCTGTAGAACAAGTCGTTTGCATTGCATCGCATATGGTAGAGATTATGTCACATTTAACGAGTTTTTCCACAAGATGTTCTCTCTTTGACTCGATTGTTTTTTTCAGATACTTTAATATTTGCTCCGCGACCCACATCTATTTCCACATTGCAAACAAAGATTACAAGATAATAAAATTATAATTGCAAAACTATGATAACTATAAGTAAGATATCAATTATTCATATTTATATACGAATCTGTCCGATTTGTTTTGTATGATTTCATTTCTCTTTTTTTTTTCTTAATTAATTATTTTAAATTCGCACTTTCGAATTTACATGCAATCTGATTGATAAAAATAGCGTTCGACATAAATGTGAAATACGAGGGTCAAATGGACGTTAATTTGTAATATTGAGGGGACGAATATTGTTAAAATACCTGTGTATCTGTCGTTCCTGACATTAATTTGATCTTCATCTGCGGCAGTAGGATGTCTAATTCAAACAGTTCCATCGCATTTAATGAATTATTCGTTACACGAGCGACAAAACAGATAATTGCAAATGAGATAAGCTAGGCACCAAGAATGCCTTAATGCAATGAAGTTGCATCAATTGTTACTGTACTGTGTACTCGATGCATACTCATCATATGTTCCCATACATACAAATCTAAATTTTAAATTTACATCAATTTTTATATATCTTTATACATTTTGTATTTATATTTATGCATAAATTATAAAGTTATACCAAAATCAACAATTACCGATTATTTTTATTTTTCAGCTTGTATATGAATGAGTTGTTTTGCCTAGCTCAGTGAGTTCTATAGTATACTGAAGTGAATCTTCCCTATACTATCTTATAGAAAAATCGGAGCCAGAATGAGAAATAGACGGATATATTTTTGGTTAGATCTCTGTCTCTTTTTACATTATACTATCTAAGCTAAGAAATTTCTAATTAGATATTTAGCAATATGAAAACGATACAGCGCGGATACGCAGTTTCCAGGAAATGTTTTGGTTTTATTTATCAATTTAATCAGTAAAATTGGAAATAATTGTAAATCATTTATTTTTCTTTTAATTCATAAAGTACATATAAAGTCAATATTTATGACTATTTTGATATTATAATAGTATCAATTAATCAGCGAATTCCTGACAAGATAGCGTTCCACTAATCATGTATGTATCCTTTTCTATGAATTAGGTTATTTTTCCACTCTTAAAATCTCACATCAGTATCGATATATCACATGAAGATTTATCGATTGCCAATGTATAAAAACGTATTTCTTATAGTATTCATATGTTCTCAACATCTATTTCCGCATCATTTGTATTTATTCATTTATTAACCTAATTCGTTATCGTAAACATTTTCATTTTTACAATATATTATTTATGTGTAGAAATCTGAAAGGTTTTAAATGCTTCTTTAACGTCTCGTTTTTAGAGTATATTTTTTTAAAGATTTAGATATATTTTTCATAAAAAAATATAAGAATTACAAATGATAATTATGGCAAAGACTATATTTCTTTAAGTTCAAAATATTGTATTAATTGTTACATGTACTTTCCTAGAAACCTTCTGGTGAAAAAAGATTCAATAAAATAATGACGTCAATTTGTTTTAAATGATGTTAATCAAAAGAAGCAAAGTATCAAATTAATAATTATATGATTATTAATAATTATTTGATACAAAGAGGTAAGAAATAATCCACGTTGCCTAGTGATTGTGTTCACGGTTATTGTTTTATTTCAAACGTGTTATAAATTATCATACAAATACAATAGCATAATCATAATATATTATAAATGTTAAACAATCCTGAGTAATTACTCTACATAAGAGAAAATCGAAGTTTTTAATATCTTTTATCGTTTTAATACCAAGCGAATCACTGGAACGAATCGCAATAATATATAATATAGAATACAATAGTAATATA